ACGAAAAACTCAAAATTCTGATACAAAAAACCAATAACTAATTATTATTTAAAAATCAAAATTAAGAATAAACGAAACTTGTGCTTTTTGGAGCATTGATTTATTTTACGAAAAACTGAAAATTCTGATAGAAAAAACTGTAACTATTGTTTAAGAAATTAAAATTAAAAAAAAAACTTGTACTCAGCACTTCTAGAGTTGCGCTCTGTTGATTGGCCGTCTATAAATTACATAAGATATTTAGAGAAGAGGGGGGGTGAACAAATTCTTACGAACAATAGAAAAATCAGTGAGAGAAGCTGGCACAATGCGCCTACATCTAAGTGTTTCGTGGCATAATTAAATAAAAAGAAGAAATCAATAATAAAACCAATCTTAAACCCCATGGACATTAGTAATTATTAATAAATAGAAAAGTATCATACACATTAATAATTTTTATTTTTAATCAACATCTAGTAGTTTTTTTGGTAACCATAGCAACCGTTTCTACGATAACCATTACCATAGCAACGGTTGCTATGAGAACCATTACTATAGCAACCGTTGCCATGGCAATTATTACCATACACGGAGAAAAAGGAATAGTTGACACATCCAGATACATGGATATCACAGCCATATTATATTGAAAAATACGGGATATCCATAGTTAAGGTTGCTGCATCCATATTCTATGGCTGGCTGTATATTGTTGGAGCAGCAAAAGATCTATGGTTGGGTGATCCATAGTAATGGAAATGGGAAACAAAAAAATTAGAATCACTCAATTAATTAAATTCTATGTCACTTGAGATATTTTATACACATTTTTGTTAATTAATACACACCACTTATTGAATAACCGCATATTTACGAAATAAATTATTAATCGATGGGGGAGACACGAACCCTAGACCTAACGCATTCTAAACACTAAAGCTATCCACTACACTATACACGCAACTACAATATTTGAGCATATAATATTCCTTATATACTATACACATATTTCATGAAAATGAATTTACATAAACACTAATAGACAATAACGATAATAAATAATAAACAATTATAACACTATTTATACACAATAAACTCACAACGTGATTATATAGACGTGACAGGAAACCGACGCGACGGACAAATTGAGACGACCATTTTTAAATGGATGCCATGATAATGAATTGAGCGCAACATGTATCGAATTTTTGAACTAACTATGGATCTCCCAACCAAAGTTTATATGGATGAGGCAGCCATATGTGAAAATCCATAGCATGAATTGTAAGCCCAACCATGCCTATGGATGTCACATCCATATTTGATTCAACAATATAATATGGCTCCCTCATCCATTGAATATGGAATGTGCTTCCATTCTGAAAGTTGTCTCTTCCATTGAATTGGATAACACAATATTCTGCTCAACAATATTTTTATGGATATCTCTTCCAGACCTTTTCTTTCCGTGTAACAACCATTACCATAGCAACAGTTTCCATGGCAACGGTTGCTAGAGAAAACTACGGACGGACACCGAAGTTTCTAACAGAGCACAACTTAAAAACTGCTAAGCACAAGTTCTGTTTTTTTTTTGTATTTTTTATTTTTTAAATAATAATTAGGTATTGACTTTTTCTATCAAAATTTTGAGTTTTTTATAAAATGAAATTTTATGCTCAACAGAACACGAGTCGAGAACTGCTGATTTTTGTTGGTTTAATTAATAGATTTTATCCCGGAATTTAAAGATTTTCGTAGAATAAATTCGTGCTCCAAAAAGAGCACAACTTTCGTTTTTTATTTTTAATTTTTTTAAACATTAGTTTTTTCTCCTGGAATATTGGCACATAATAGCACAAGTCATGCACAGTGTATCACAATAATTGTTTTTTGAAATTTTCATTTTTTCCGATTAAAAAAAGTTTTTTGGTTTTTGTGCCCGCAATTTTAAATTTTCTATTTTTAATTTTGATTTCTTTTGCAGAATTTAAAGTTTTCGTAGAATAAAATTGTTCTCCAAAGAGCACAAGTCAAGAAGTGCTAAGCACAAGTTTTGTTTATTCTTAATTTTGATTTTTTAAACAATAAATAGTTCTTGGATTTTTCTATCTGAATTTTGAGTTTTTCATAGAGTGAAATTGTGCTCAATAGAGCACAACTCAAGACCTGCTGAGCACAAGTTCTTTTTTGTAATTTTGATTTTTTAAATAATAATTATAAGTTATTGGTTTTTTCTATCAGAATTTTGAGTTTTTTATAGAATGAAATAAATTGTGCTCAAGTAAACACAACTCAAGAACTGCTGAACACAAGTTTTGTTTTTTTTAATTTTGATTTTTTTTGTAAGCAATAGTTTTTCCTCCCGGACTTTAAAATTTGCGTAAAACAAATTTGTATTCAACAGAGCACAACTCGAGCACTGCTGAGCACAACTTTCGTTTTTTCTTAATTTTGATTTTTTTAAACAATAGTTTTTTGATTTTTCTATCAGAATTTTGAGTTTCTCGTAAAATGAAATTGTGCTCAACAGAGAACAAGCCGAGAAATTATTAGCACAAGTTTCAATTTTCCCGAATAAAAAAGTTTTTTGTTTTTCAAAATATGAAATTTGGCACAAAAGAGCACAAGTCGAGCAGTATATTCAGCACAAGATTTGTTTTTTAAAAATTTTAATTTTTCCGTTTAAAATTTTTTTTTGTTTTCGTGCCCGGAATTTTGAACTTTTTTAAAATCGAATTTTGGCACAAAAGAGCACAAGTCGAGTACAAATCAGCACAATAATTGTTTTTTAAAAATTTCAATTTTTCCGATTTTAAAAAAGTTTTTTGGTTTTTGTGCCCGGAATATTGAGTTTCTCAAAAATCGAACATTGGCACAAAAAAGCACAAGTCGAGCACAATAATTGTTTTTTTGAAAATTTTAATTTTTCCGATTTAAAAAAAGTTTTTTGGTTTTTGTGCCCGGAATTTTGAGTTTTTCCAAAAATTAAATTTGGCACAAAAGAGCACAAATCGAGCACAATGCAGCACAATAATTATTTTTTGAAAATATCAATTTTTCGATTAAAAAAAGTTTTTTGGTTTTTGTGCCCGGAATTTTGAGTTTTTCAAAAAATGAATTTTGGCACAAAAGAGCACAAGTCGAGCTCAATTCAGCACAATAATTGTTTTTTGAAAATTTTAACTTTACTGGTCGAACTTACTGTACATAAAAAATATCCCAAAAACGGCCCTTTTCAATTTTCAAGGTCAAATTTCTCAAAAATCTAGGGTGATGAAACAATTATGATTACGGATTCACATTCAGCATCAAAAAACCTATAAAAATCACCCTATGCGATCCCAGAAATAAAAATGCTGTTGCACTGTGTTTTATGAAAAAATAACGGAAGATTATTCTTTTATCTATTAAGTAGAGAAAAATAAAATTCATACATAATTAGATTTATAACAGATCGAAAGGAACAGTCCCAACGGGAAGTTGCCAATGTTAACGATTGGTTCAATAATGGGCCATGCTTGGTACCCAATGGTTTTTTCTTGGCAAAACAATTGGCAACCATCATTGGACCACCAATGGTTTAAACTTGGGATGATCACGCTACTGCCAATGATCGGTAGCCAAGCATCGGGCCAATATTAGTTGCCAAGGAATTGCCAAGGAAACAAAATCGATTTTCAAAAGCTTGATTTTTTATTGGCAGCCAACAAAAAACCAAGGTTTTGAAAATTGATTTTTTTTAATTATTAATTAAAATTTATTTTTAAAAAATATATTTTTCAAAAATTTATTTTAAAAAAACATATTTTTTAAAAATATATATTTTTTTAAATTAATAGAACATATTAATTTAATTTGTCACCTCTGGTAAAACAAAGATGAAAGACTGATAAATTCCCTCACTTTATATTTTACAGTGGAGGGATAACTGTGAATGTCTTTGCGAGAGAGGAGCAGGTACTTATATAGAGCCAGTGAAACAGGTCACAAGCGAGAAGAAATCACTAGCATGCACTCTGGCGGCGCTTGTCGGAAGTGGCGCAACGTGTTGGCTGCCAAGCGCTGTGTCGATAATGTCAGGATATGCATGCGCGCCAGAAAACAGTTCCGACAAGCGCCGCCAGAGTGCATGCTAGTGATTTCTTCTCGCTTGTGACCTGTTTCACTGGCTCTATAAGTACCTGCTCCTCTCTCGCAAAGACATTCACAGTTATCCCTCCACTGTGAGATACGGTGAGGGAATTTTTATCAGTCTTTCACCTTTGTTTTACCAGAGGTGACAAATTAAATTAATATGTTCTATTAATTTAAAAAAATATATTTTTTTAAAATAAATTTTTGAAAAATATATTTTTTAAAAATAAATTTTAATTAATAATTAAGAAAAATCAATTTTCAAAACCTTGGTTTTTTGTTGGCTGCCAATAAAAAATCAAGCTTTTGAAAATCGATTTTGTCTCCTTGGCAATTCCTTGGCAAATAATATTGGCCCGATGCTTGGCTACCGATCATTGGCAGTAGCGTGATCATCCCAAGTTTAAACCATTGGTGGTCCAATGATGGTTGCCATTAATGTTCCAATAATGGAACGGAGTTCGCCAAGCATGGCCCATTATTGAACCAATCGTTTACTTCCCATTGGGGTCTTATGAGTCGTAAATTGAAAATAATTACATTAATAATTCATTTCTGTTTTTTTTATGAAGGAGTTTACACCGAGTGGTATAAATTTATACTCGCGCGAGTATAAGCGGATATTCCTCCACGAGAATATACTCGCGCCTGCGCAAACACGTGGTCAAGGCAAAGTCTTTCACTACACATCTGCAGGCAAACATTATGCGCAGGCGCGAATCTATTCTCCTGGAGGAATATCCGTTTATGCGCGCACGAGTATAAATATAAGCCTCTTGATGTAAACTCCTTCTATGAAAGGAAAGATTCCCAAATACATTACAACTTAAATGTAAATATCAGTTTTATTTTTAAACTAGAATATAAAAATTTTTGGAAGCTTTTGGTTCGATGCGATTTTATTTGTATGCAATTTATAATACAATTTTTAGTAGAGAAACATATAGAAGCGGTAGAACGGAGAGCAGTTAAGAATCTAATTCTATAGACTATTATCTAGAAAGTAAAGTAACTAGTGAGTGACGTTTAGTTCATATTCATCTTTGTGGAATATGTTAACATCTTTAAAAAACATATTTGGCCCGTCAAATTTAAATTCATAAATAGGCCTGTCTAGAGGGAAACCAAAGGGCTTAGGTTCCAATAAATAGTCGCCAAAAATTCTAGATGAATATTTGAATGCTTCACTTGTCATTGGACAAATATAAACGAAAAATTGGAACGGCATGCCTTCTTTTTTACCCTTTGGCAGTGTGAGTCTCTGTGGGAAGCCATAGAGATGTCCTTGATACTTGAAGGATTCACCTTGAATAGCTTTCATCAATCTCTTATAAAAGATGTCACTTGGTTCCAAATCAGGAGTCGTGAAGAAAAATTCTTGACTACTGCGTTCAATTTTGTTCATGCCCGCGTTCACTATAAGAGAAATAAAGCTTCTTATTCTGATAAGGAAGTACAGACTCTTCTAACAATTAACGATTTTTCAAAAAGTAATTACTAATAATTTGCTTCTATTCAATATAACAATACTTACAGTCCAATATCCATTGATCAAGTTCGTAGAAATATTTATAACTGTCTCGGAAGTCATAAAGTTTGTGATGCGGATCGTATTTTGGTCCAAGGAAAATTCTCATTACAGCTTTGGTTGCTTTTTCGGAATTAACAGTAAAGTGGAATTTGAATGGCTTATGATTGAGACGATATTGCCGTACTTTAATTTGCATTGATTCTGCCTCCTTTTCACTCTCGACACTCAAACCAGCGCCAATAGGTGTTTCGTACTCATCAAAGTATGTTTGAATTTTGTCAATTACCACCGATTCAATTTTAAATTCTGGGAAAATGACCTCTTCGTTCTTGTACGCCTTCATATGGTCCTTGTATCTATTAAGTTGACATTAATAAATTAAAATCCTTCGGATTGCATATTTTGCAAACTGATATACTAACCTGCACCAGTAATTGAAGATTCTTTTGTAAAGTCGGTAGAATGCAGGATCCCTCATGCTAGTATCGTAATATTCGAGTGCACTTGGAATTATCTGATAAGGATTATTAGGTTCAAGATTGAATCCTAAAATTTTTCGTGTGTAAAAGTCGAAACTTCCGTAAAATGGAAGATTGAGAGAATCCTTGTTTCCTTCGATGACATTTCCTAAGTAATTGAAACCTTCAGGAGTGTATATATTCACCCATTTTCCATCTTCTTTCAAGAGAAAACCTGAGTCAATAGCGGCTGATATGCGAAATTCGTAGTCTTTGACTTTCTATGGGAATTAATTAATGTTTTTAAAATACGCGATTTTTCTCAGATTATGAAAAATATAAATTCAAAGCTAAAATAATAAATAGCTTCTGATTATTTTTTTCATTTTTAAAAACTTGCGTACTTCAGACTTATAAAAATACCTGAATGTATTTGTACTTGTATTCAGGAAAGCGGGTCCAATGGGATCTTTGTGGATATGGGAAACTGTTGTGGAAGGTCATTGTCGGGAAGTAGCCAGTGTGGAATTCTCTGTCCCAATCGAAGTCCTCAACGTATCCTAAATCATTGGATAAACGTTCCAAGAAATAACGGTTCCAAAGTTGTTTGTGTCCATAAAGGTACTCTCCACCACGATATCCTTTTGTCAAATGGAATTCCTCACTGTTAAGCCAGAATGGGTATTCTAATCTGTAGTACATATAGTAAGTACTTAGTCCAATATCCTCGGTAAAATAAGAAAGTTTATGCTCCTCATCAGAGTCGAGATTCAGATACCAGCCGGAATAGTTTGCAGGTATGAAATAGGTTTCAATATCACCTTTCGATTCTAAAAAAACGAGTATTTGTAAAACATGTAAGAAATTGTTCTAATCGAGTTGTCTAACAATTCATTAAATGTGAACATACCCATTATTCCGAATCGTTTCGGATGGTGCGCTTTCTCTAACACTTCAGAATTGAAAAATGAGTATGGGTAAATTTCGTAAGGCGCTGGTAGTCTGATGTATTTGGTGTCTGGGCGTCTGATGACAGCTTGTGCAAAGGCAGTGTAGAACATGCCCTCGTTAATGTGAGCTCGTGCCCAGAGGGCTGTTTTGTAGAAAGTCTCAAAATCTTTTGCATACCAGAACAATCGGAATAGTGCCATTGTTTCGTGTAAAAGTAAAGGATAGAACATGGAATAAAGTGCTCCTCGCGGAAGCATTCCATTTTTCCAGTGGTGAAGGAATTCTGTCACGGCAGTCTGTGAACAATTTTTAAGAAAATTTATATAAAATTTATCTTGTCAATATTACATCAATTTGAATATCGCATATTAAAAATAATTACACTGTTGGTGTAGGAATCGATGTTAGCTTTGATTTCCCATGCTTGGCCTTCTTTGAAGAGATCAGGAGCGACAATTTCCGGTTGTGAGAGATGATAAACAATATTGTAGATCCGTTTTTGCTTGAGAAGATAGTCCTTGTCGGCTGTGTATTCAGTGGAATACTCGGCATATATTGCTTGGCAGAAGCACGCCAATATGGCCAGAAATACTAAAAGTCTGGCCATTATGGCACACGGGTTTTGTTAAATTGAATCAGTCAACAATAATAACTGTTATGATAAACTGTCGCGAGTATAATGACTGCCTTTCGATCCACCGCTTGGACTTTTATACCAAGCTTTGTTTCTTTAATCTTCCCACTATAAGTCAAAACAGTGACCCTTGTATATTGTTTTTATGAGCTGTCGATATATAAATCTCTTTGATTAACCCTTTCGTGCCCCCGGGAAACCCAGCGCGTGGATTTTGTTGAAACTTGTTACTCGGGGGTTTTCGGGGACGCTGACTATAAATCTGCAGTCAGATTTTCAAAATTCAGAATGGCAACCCCGAAAACTCCAGAGTAAGAAGTTTTAAACGAATTTGAAAAATTTTGGAAAAAATATCCACCATATTGGGTCCATCACTTTGAATTTTGAAAATTTGACTTTAGATTGTTAGTTTTGTACTATTTGTTAGTTTAGATTGTTAGTGTTGTAAGTGATCCATATTTATACTAGAGGCACGAAAGGTTTAAAAAACCTGTTTATAGGTATAGCTAAATTTGCAAGCAAAGTAATATTGCAGTTAGATAGTTATCTGATTAAAAAAACTTCTACTCTTCTTTTATTAGTACTAAGAAATTCTAAGAAAACTTCCTACTTTTTATGAATGTCTTTCTTAATGTAGGTACTGCAATTGTGATATATTTGGTGATTAAGATTTGATTAGTACATCGGCTTTATAATTGAGTAATATTGATGTACTTATCAAAACTTTTCAATATCTTAAATAAATTATGCTCTTTAAAATAGTGTTCGAGAAACGAGAAATCTTTTTGTTTGATGACTTTCAATACAATAACGTCTTAAGAGTGTAACTATTCGGTTATGCTCCACAATTAATATTGTTCTTAAATTATTTTAATGTTTCAAGTTCAATTTTAAAATAATTCACATTTTCCGAAAGAAATAAATCAAACTAATGTTTTGTATTTTTTCCTATAGAGATTACAATGAACGGATAAGGCACATGCTTATATAGGTTTTGTGTGTATACAATCAAGTTGTTTTGAATAACATAAACGGAAAGAAATGTCAAGGATAAGTTGATTAACAGTTGAATTGATTTTGTGAACTGCTTAAAAAGTAAATAAATAAAGCTATTAAATACAATACATCTAAGAATTAAGAAAACTGTTTTTCAGGTTCCTATAGGAATATTGTTATCAATTTCATATTGGGACATTGAAAATAAATGGGTTTTTTATGTGTATATAGATTAACAAATATTTGAAAAAATTGAAGGTAAGAGAATTAAAAAATTTGCAAATTTTTTAACAAAAGTAAGATCAGTTTATTGATATTCCAAAAATTAATTTTATAATTATTATCCATTAATAACAAATAAAAATATGAATTACCTATTAACCACGTGTTTGTCGATGATAAAATTAATTGGCATCATAAATTGTTAGGCACAAAGAATTACATATTCTATCTGTTTTCTATTATAAAAATGAGAAACTGGCAAAAATAATGATTTTATTAGAAAAGTGAATTGCGAATTATGATTTGAACTTTAACCATTATGATAACTGTCAACGAATTTTTTTTTGTCAACGAATTTATCATAAATATTATAATATTTATGATAAATGAAATTCATTAAACTAAATAATATCGTGGTTCAATATCCTCTATAGTGTCACTTTACCAGTCTTTTAAAAATATATTTTAAAAGATAAAATTTCTCATTTTCATGTTTGTTATCATCATAAATGTCAATTTCTTCATAAATAAATTTAATGTTGCTTTAGATATATGATATATTAAATATCGCCTTTTAAAAATTAAAACAATTTTTTTAAAAGTTTTTAAATATTTATTTGAATTGCTTTTTCATGGAAGCATTGTTTTAATGAAAATTTTCAAACTTCATTTTTTAGCATATCTTTATGTTTTTTGACCCAAGAAATTAAAAAATCACAATTTTAAAAAATGGCATTCTGTATATATACATATATGTGCGTGTAAACATTATATTTTCATAAATATATCGAGACTATGAAGAGCTTTAGGGAAGAATTTTGTTTAATTTTAGATAAAATGGAGGTATTTTGAAGCAGATTAAAAAAGATTAATTATATTTTTTGTATTTGGGTCAGACCAGCTCAACTGTGAAACAAAATTTAATTGAATTTTTAAAATATAAAACTTTTATAGAAATCTGTAGTTCACAAAAAAACACTTTTAACCGTTTCTTGAAATTTAAAATTTTTTTATTTATTTTGCATTAAGAAAATACTGATAATCACTGACACGAACAAACTATTAAAATTAGGACATTAGGTCGAAATTATGAAGAAACACATTAAAATTTTTTTTTAAATTTGTTTAAACAATTTTTCTTGTTTAATTATAATTTTAAAGACAAAAAATAATTTTTTTCTTGCAGTTGAATAATGCAATGGTTTTAATTAATTTAGGGTCTAGACTAAAGATACAAAAATTATTAACACTCTCTACCCCCCTAAAACCACCCTTATTTTAAAAAACAACCCCTAGGAGCATAAATAATAGCAGTAGGGGAGGATGGGGCAAGGATAGTTAGTTGCTGTTATGCTTAGACGGCTTGCTCAAAAATCGCGTAATTCATGGTATATTCCCATGTTGACACCAAAATATGATAGTAAAAATTGGAAGGCAATCTGTCACCATTTGCGAAGTTAGGAGTTTATTTTTGAAAAAAGTATGTTCTGCTAAAATGTCAGCGTAATGTTTATCATATTGTTTTCTATATTAGAGTTTCAGAATATTTATTTACTTAAGTGTTTTCCGGAGTGGAATTTCTTGCTGAACACGAATATCGTATTTATTTTCAAATTAATTCACGTTGTTCCATGAAATTTAGAAAAAACTGAAATATGGGCTCACGGGGCAAGGATAGTTAGAGATAATACGGCACGTTAAAATCCTGTTAATGACATTGAAAATTTTAAAAAAGTGTTTAATTGTTCTTTTTAGATTAATATACATAATGGTGAGTAATTATATGAGGCATTTTACGTGAAATGTCCTAAGTTGAAATTTCAACTTCTTGAAAAAAATTGAAACTCAGGGAATTTGTTGTTCTATCAAGTAAAAATGTATGTATGTTCAGAAAAAATTCACAAAGTAGACGGTGTTAGCAAAATTGGTCAAATTGACCCCCCTCTACCCCCTCCAAATTTTCGAAAAAATCAAAAATATTTTTTAGGGCACATTTTTACTTGATAGAACAACAAATTCCCTGAGTTTCAATTTTTTTCAAGAAGTTGAAATTTCAACTTAGGACATTTCACGTAAAATGACTCATATATACGGAAAACGAAGCTTATTGACCAAGAAATTGGTGGTCGTTTGAAGAAAATTGGTTAAACCTCTGATTCTAGTTCAGATGAATTTTTATAAAGATAATTGAAATTCAGAAAATGTTCAATACATATTTTTAATACCTGAGATATCAATATTGAATAGGGGAGACTGGGGTAAACCCGCTCACTAGCGATTTTACGCTATAAACTCAACTTAAGATGGAGATATTGGTACTGTGAATAGTACTTAACATTCAACTTATATTAACGAACTTTCGTTTAGTTTCATGAATTCAACATAGAATCAGAGGCGATCAAATGTTTTTAGGGGTGTCAGAAAAAAAACGTATTTTGGATTCTTAAGTTTTTCGATCATTATTTTTGAGTCTTAATTCATCTGGCAAATTTTTTTTGTTGCTACTGGATTTCCTTCTTCGAAGTACATATATAGTTTTGTCTTATTTTAAAAAGATTTAATTAAATTTATTCTGAAATGTGAGAAATACACTCGGGGTAAAGTCGCTCACGTGAAGTCGGGGTAAAGCCGCTCACTTAGTTTTAAATTTAAAATTTAGAATAAAATAATTTCACGTATTATATTTCAACAATAACACAATTTATGACTCATTAAAACCAAAATTGTAACTACATTTCACTTTCTCTTAATAAAATATAACACTATTTAAATCCATAGTTGTAATTCATGAAATCTATGTTCATTATTTATTAAACCAATTTGTTGTTTATAGAAATGTTTATATAACTCATAAATTAATAATAAATCATACTTAAGACGGGAATAAGACGAACTTTAATATTTAAAAAATAAAACTGTTCCGTCTTGAAAAGATAAAGTGAGCGGGTTTACCCTGGAAAATTGTGATTTCGAAATTTGGTATATGTTTATTAAAAAGTTTCTCTAAGTAAAACTAAAAAAGATAAATCAAAAACTCTTTTTTATTTTTTTAGTAGAAATCATAAGCTTTCAAATGATATAAATTAACTTGGATTTAGAGAATAATTTCCTAGATTTTAGCCGATCTGAAAAAAAGTGAGCGGGTTTACCCCAGTCTCCCCTAGTCTAAAGTCAATAAAATGAAGAAAACGAAAATTTACTGATTTTCTATAACATTTTTAGCATTCGGATTCTTTTAACTATCCTTGCCTCGGTGCTGGGACAACGATAGTTAAATATTTTTGTTAACTTTTTCATTCGTATCTCGTAGGGATTTGAGTCTACAGTAAAATAATGTATATCAAAATTATAGCTAAATAACCAGGCTTTCCAAAAATACTTTTTGTTTGCAGATACATATTCAAGTTTGGCCGCTAGATCCGAAAAGGTCTTACCTTACTATCCTTGCCCCATCCTCCCCTACTTATTGGAGAAAAATTTTTATTTCATTTTATCATACAGAAAAAACATTGTTGCACATAATATAATAATAATCATAGGAAGTGTACTGAGTAGTCTCTTCTTAAAGCCCCCAAAAAAATTTTTGGCATTTTCAATTTGGAATGTACATAACGAATTGTTTATTAAAAACGCGCGCCAACTCTACAGTGGGAAAAAGTTGATTGTCGTGGACAATTCAGTCTAAAGGTTACAAATATTATTTGTTTTTAATAAATTTTTTAAATAAAAGTTTATAAAATTGCGCACCGATCAGATCAAATCTGATATCTCAACTTAAAAAAATATGAATGCTACGAATTTGTTAACTAATATTTTGTAATTTTTTTTTCTTTCGTTCATA